CGACTCTCTTGATGGACGTTCCGCTTCACTTCTTGCACGAACTTGATTTGTGATGCCGCAAGCCAAGAAATTTTACTTAAAGTGGATGGACTCATTATGGTCTTCTGGGATACCTTGCTTCACAACAGCAATAGTGTAAGCGTGGTGTTAAACCGAGTCATGGTTGCAGATGCAGCAGCTTCCAAAATCTTACTTTCAGCTTATTATGATAATCATTTCAATATTCCATAAATAATATATTTTATTATCATACACGGAAATTTAATTATTTTAATTTAGAAACAGAAAGCAATTTTTTGAAAAATTTATGAGATAAACATAGTTTAGTGACAACTTTCTTCAATACAGAAAATATATTATGTATTTTATTTCACATACAATATCATATATGTATCTATATCACATAAGCTGTCTAGACTACGTTTTTCAAATAATTTCTGGCTATAAGAGGTTTAAAAATTTTACAAATTTATTTAGCTGAATAATTTTGGACTAATTAAAATATGTATTTCATTTTTTTTACAATAACAAATTTTGTTAAAATCAAGCTACTGTTCCAATTACAACACCAATATTTACATATATATATAACTAAATTAGAGAGATCGTATCAGCCAATTTGTGCGAATTTATGTATGCAAATGTCTCGCTGGCGCTAAATGCTTGTGAATTAACATATAAATTACAAACGAAAAATGCAAGAGAAATGCTAAACGAAGAAAGAGTAAACCAAGTAACATTTTATACTCTTTATGCTTTTCTCCAAAATTATACATACATAAACATATATGTATAGTATAAATATAAATTTTTTTTTAAGCCTCAACAAAACATTTTATCGCTTCAAAGAATTCTCAACAACATATAATTACTTTCGCACTCTCAACATAATATGAAGCAAATGAGTAACCCGAAACCGCCCTAAAAAAATTACTCGATATTAAACGACATCGATTTATCATTTGGCTTTATTAATTTCATACACACTCTGGATCACAGGGCACAGGGCAAGCTGCGAGCCCGAAGGTATAAGTCGAAATGCGCTCTGCGGTGGTGACGCATATTTGCACGCCAAAACGTTGGCTGTGCACTAATTCACGCACGACAGACGCGGCGGATGCTTCAAGCAGCACGCCACATGTCTGATGCTGCATGTGGCAGTGCACATAAATTAGTGATTCGCTGTATTCGATTGCACAATACGCATGTTGCATGCAACCTCATACCGCTGTGCGTGCAAATAAATTATACAAACAGGTTGAAAGCGGGTGGAGCAGCTTTTTTTTTTTTTGTTCAAACGCACAAAATGAACCAAAGTCAGGATATCAATTTGCTAAAAAAAAATATTTTCTTTTAATAATTTTTTTAAACTGCACACAGTGGCACAAAAATAGCCATTTAAGAGATAACAAAGTCGATATAGAAATTTAAAATAAATAATACAATATAAGTAAAATAGAGAAAAAATGAAAAAATATTATGATATACAAAATAAAATACTACTAACCAAAAGTATAAAATAATAAAAAATTCAGAATAAAAAAAGGAGAAAAAAAGAATAAAGTAATAAAAACTATAAATTGAAATAAAATAAAATACATAAGACAACATAATAATAGATAATAAAAATAATATGCAATAAAATAAAATAAAAAAACCAAATAAAACAAAATAAATAAAACCAAATAAAGGAAAATAATATTAAATAAAAAATAGAAATAAAATAATATATAGGAAATAAAATAAAATAAAACCATGACAAAAATAAAATAAGTTACATTAAATAAAATAAAATAAATTTATTAAAATCCAATAATAGAATTAAAATTAAATTAAATAAAATAAAAAAAATAACATAAATCAAAAAAAAAAAATAATAAAAAAAAAAACAAAATAAAAAGATTATAAATAAAATCAATTGAAGGAAAATAATATAAAACAAATAAAAATAATAATAATGTAATAGGAAGTAAAATAAAAAAAATATAACTTAAAATAAAATAAGTTAAATAAAATAAAATAAAATAAATTTTAAAAAATCAAATAAAGTAATATAAAAGAAGTAAAATTATTATTTTAATATAAAATGATATAGTTTAAATAACATAAAATCAAATAAAGTAAAATAAAAGAAATTAAATAAAATAAGAAAATAACATAAATAAAATAAAATAAACCGAAATAAAATAAAATAACACAAAACAAATTAAAATAAAATAAAATATATTAATATAAAACAAAATAAAAAATCAAATAAAATAAAAAAGTGGAATAAAAAAAATTATAAAAATAAAATATTGGATGAGTGCATAAGTTCGTGCCCGATTCCGCTGGATGCCGTTCGAATCGTTTGAGAGTGGCGCTTGTGAAAGAAATATATACTATTATATATCGTTGGAAAGGTGACAGTTCGAACTGTAAATCAAGCATAAAATAATTTCATTTTAATTTGAGTTGCTTAGTGAAAATACGCATGGAAGATGAAAAATAGATCCTGTACAACAATGTTCAACGCAAAAGAACATGGAAGCAGGCACACGAAGGGGCGGAACCGATGTCGAAAGGTAGATTGCATCCGATGAATATACTGCTGTGCATTTGGTGGGATATCCGAGGCGTGATCTGATTTGTGCTCTTGCCAGCTGGAGAAACGATCACTGCTAACAAGTATTGTCAGCAATTGGTCGAATTGAAGAAACCAATTGATGAAAAACGTCCGATTTTGGCCAATCGCAAAGGAGTTCATTTCCATCACGACAACGCCAGGCCACATGTTGCAAAACCGACCCTGGCCAAACTGAAGGAGATGAATTGGGAAATCATGCCGCATCCCCCATATTCAGCCGACATTGCACCTTCTGATTATTATTTGTTCCGATCGCTGCAGAACAGTTTGAATGGAAAAAAATTTAAAAATGTGGAAGACGTCAAAAACCACCTTGACACCTTTTCCAACGAGAAACCGCGCGATTTCTATGAATCAGGCAACCGTTAATTGGTTGAACGTTGGGAGTGGATTGCCGAACATGATGGCTTGATTAATAAAAGCGCTTCCTTCAAAAAATTTCAATTTTAGTTTGCACTTGAAATCGGGCACGAACTTATGCACTCATCCAAAAAAATAATATAAAAGAAAATAAATTAAAATAATATAAAACAAAAAATTATTTAAAATACCATAGAATGTAATTGATAAAAACAAAATAAATAAAGTAAATTAAAAGTTGAATTAATGTAAATGAAATTTAAAAAAAATAATATACATTTAGTTTTCTTAAATTAATTAATGTAAAATATTTATAAACAGTAATTAATAAAAAATGAAAAATAATTAGACAATTCATGTTGAATCTGCTTGAGTTGAGAATAAATATATGAAAATACAAAACCAGTTTTATTTCTATTAAAAAAAAATATATTATTTTTAATCAAAAAAATTTGTTTTCCAAACGAACTCAATTAAGACTAATCTGAGCATCACGAAATCAATTAGCAGAATTTAGTCAGATAAACACGCTTGTGACGTATATTATACTTTCTTTAACTAACCGTAAGCATTTCGCCTATTAATCATATCTATCGATATCCTTTGATATGCAAATTAAACTAGCCATTAATTTATGTGACATTTTAATGGATTTGTTTAGAAAACAGTCGTGAGTAATTAGTGTTGATGCTAAATTTTTGGCATGCGTGACATAAATACAAATCAGCGGTTGCAGAGCAAATTTTTCTTTAATTTATGTACAAAAGAATGTTGATTTGTAAGATCTTTCTAACTTGTTATTGCAGGTAAATTACAAAAAGAGTGTTTTTTTACAGAATGATTTTTTTATGAAAAGAATTAAACATCAAATATGTTTTTGATGAAAATATAATTGTTCCAAAATGTTAAAAAAAAAATTATCTCAAATATATAAGTAATTCTTTTAAGACGAAATATTATAAAATTAAAAAAAAAAACTCTTGTTTGTAAAATAGTAATTAAAACTAAAATAATTTTTTAAATATCTTTCTGGTTTTTCTGATTTTATTCCCTGCCAAGCTTAATTAGTTTTATTATCCAAAAATCATTGTTGTTTTTGTGTATTTCATAAATATTAATTCTTTACGCAAATAACAAAGAACTCCCATAGCTTTGCTCTCAAAGCGTAAGCATCACATAAAATGCCGATCGTAAAAAACGGTAAATTTAACGAAACGTGTGTATGTATGTATTTACAAAACAATATTTACATTCGTATGATTTTTCGAAATACCATTAAATTTTGAATCACTGCCGAGGAAGTTCCACTTACACGCGCTGTCTTCTGCAGTTGTGGATGTTTTGCCACACTTTTATGAATATGCAAAACAGTGTGTAAGAAAATTTAAAATTTCAGCGATTTCAAATGGGCTAATAAATTTCTTTATAGGCGTTGGAAGAATTGATGGTCAATGTTTTTTTTTTGAATTTTTTGTAATTTTTTGTTATATTGCTTTTTTTGCGTCATTTCAATGAACGATAAGCCAAAGTGTGCTCGTGATAATGGCAGTGGGAACCCATATGGGTGTGTGTGTGTATGATTATATGTGTTTAAGAAAAAGCACAACAAAGAAAGTTTGGTGTTATTATTTTTAGCTTTTTTTTTATTTATTTATTTATTTATTTTTTTTTTTTTGAGAATGTGAGGGAGCTGAAATGAAGTTAAACAAAAAAAATTTAAATAAAATTATGTTTAAAATTTCTTCGTGATTTTAATTTGTTGTAAACTTTTGGTTGAAAAAAATTTTGTTATTGGTACTATTCGTTTTGTTTTGCGGTGATTTCTTGCGTGCGCGCAGACGCAATATGCGGCGCCAGCAGATGCGCACAGGCTATAAGAAGGGCACTGCGCGTGAAATATTGAATCATTTCCGTACTGTACGCTGCGGCAGGCGGCAGCCAAGAGATTTGCTGCCTTGAGGAAATAAAAAAACAAAATTGCTTTATTTGAAAAAATTCCAAAGTGTTCAAAACAATGAAGTCCTTTGTGTTGTGCTCTCTCAGTTTAATATGTTGTTTGGCGCTTTCCGTGCAAGCCGCTTATTTCTATGAACGTCCCGATGGACCGGAATTTTTAGATGAAGATAAAGGACGTGCTGGCCGTTGTGCGGCGCAGTGCTGTGAGTATTTTTATTTGCTTCTTTTTCTCTCTTTTTTTTTTTTTTTGTTTTTTTGTCACAAAATAGTTTCTAATTTCTCATTACTTCCTTAATTCTTTCATGCCTACATTTGTGCTTCTTCCTCTGTTTGTTTTTATTTTTTTCTTTGCTCCTCACTTTATTTGCTTGCCAGTCTGTGGCACACCGAATGTCAATCGCATCGTTGGCGGCACACAGGTGCGTCACAACAAGTACCCCTGGACGGCGCAACTACTCAAGGGCCGTTGGCATGCGCGTCTCTTCTGTGGCGGTTCGTTGATTAATGATCGTTATGTGCTGACGGCGGCGCATTGTGTACAAAATAATCGTGATCAGATAACTGTAAGATTGTTGCAATTGGATAGATCATCGGGAGATCCTGGTATCACTAGAAAGGTGAGTTTGTAAAAAATAAAATAAATTTACAAAAAAAATAACTGAATTGTATGTGCTGCAACAGAGTAATTCCTAATGAAGTCTTATACCCAGCAAGTGTTTAGTGCTTGGGATTTTTTTTTCTTTTTTTAATGCATTTTACAAATTTGTGAAGAGCCCCCGATTTCAGTTATGCTTTTAAAGTAATAGTCTTTAAACCCAAAGCTTCCACAGATGGCGCTGTAGTGCAAAAATATAAAATTTCTTCAATGTAATGGTGAAAGTGAAATTGAATGATTAAGATTGCGTACTGATAATCAGTAAGTCGGAGTTCGCGTACTGGTTCGACCAACATTCAAAATTATACGAAAGCTTGTGTTTTAATTGCCGTCGCCTCTCCTTAGGGAATCTCAAACACTCCGATTCTATTTTTTAGATTAAATAAAAGCTCTTTATTAAACTACATCGGTCATTTGAAGACGACTTAGAAGCAACAGTAAGTCTCTCCATTTGTTGGAAAGACATCAAGAGATATACTCCAAATTGGAGTGGCAATTATATTATGGAAGATACATATAATACACCCAAAGAGAGCTAGAAATTTCGCCACCTGGTAATAATAAAATCCTTTTGAGCCTTCCTTTTTATAGTTAAATAAAGCATAGTCCAGTTATATGTTTCAAGAAGCTTAATGTATTTGCTTTCCTTAAGTAAGCTATAATAATATATATCCCTAAATACTAAAGTTCAAGCCAGGAAAGAGAGTCTTATTACATTGTTACTAAACTCAGCAAAGAAAGGAAATAAGTTTAGCGATTTTTATAAACTGTAGAACTATCTGATTAAGAGCCATGAAAAGTTGCAGACACTGAAGTTACGAAATATACCTAAGCTTAGCCATCAAAAATCGTTAAAGGAAGAACATTCTCTTTTTCTCATAACTATTCATTTAACTGCCACCTTAGCTTTTGAAAGGGTCCCCAGCTGCATGCTATACTCTTCCGAGAATACGAGCTAAACGATCTGCTTCGGTCCCTCGACTTATGATAGGTCAAATTATGTTTCCTTCTTAATACGACCTGCTTGTGAAAGCCCTCACTTGGTCGTGGCATGTCTAGTAAGCCTATTTGTCTAAGCAGCGCTGCTGTTATCCTACACGTCTCTTGGTGTCTTGATAGTACTAATGGCGGATAGCTTCACTCCATTGTTTCTGTTTCTTTAAGCAAACAGCCTACAGCGATGCCAGCTAATGTATCGTCAATTTTATAGACAGCAAGTGAAGGATTACGTTTAGCGCTTCAGTCTTCCTCCACAAATACCATTAAAACAGACTTGAAATCAACAGATATGAGTGATTTGAGCTATTAGAGTCTTTTTATTTTGTGGGTGGCTAAATTTTAGTTGTAGCTCCTCAAATAGTATTTTTTCGTTCTTTTAAAAATCAACTCCTGGAGCTCTCAATTTTATTACTACAGACTCTCTCTGAGGAAATTAAACATAACAAACATTCTGGATCACAAAAACTTCCAATTGAAACTCTTCGATGAGAGATTTACCTCCATTTCGATCGAGGGAATCATATCAAACCAGGGTTCGAGATATTCAAAGTACTTCAATCAAACTATATTTCATTCTTGCCAAAAATTTAAGTTTCGTTCTCACCGAGAAGCTCTTAACTAAAGGCTCTGTACAATACAGGTATTTACTCCAAAGACTCTACACTGTGAAGCAAAGTCAATGAAAGCCGGGAAACTAAACTCCTGCTGTCAAAGCGTAAGATCTCAAGTTAACAATGATCTGAATCTCTTCTTTATGTGTTTTTTTATTTTTATTTTTGCACAACCATCTATTGAGTCCACTGAACCACTTGTGGTAGTATAAGAGCATATTTAGAGCAGGAGTCGAAAGAGATCCCTTGATGTAGGAGTAAAGTAAGGTTCTCTGTTCTGTGAAAATTCATCTGAATCCTTCCTGCTTCTACGTTGGGTACAAGAGTTTCATTAAAAGACAGCTTATTGGTTGGAATTTGTTTTCTGTTTTGCAATAAAGCTGCAAAGAGCGTCTACAATTTCAACTAAAACGGCTGCCGGAAGCTCTAAGCACAGCATTCATTTACTTCATTGAACAAAGAAAACCACTTACTCCAAGTAAAAGCCGCAGATGGCTGACGATGGCAAGCTAAAATAATTTATTAACCAAACTAACTCAAGAAAAATAACTGTAAGTGATACTGATTAAGCTCTAACTGCATACACACACATACACACACATTCTTTGTTTCCCTCTACTCACCCACGCAGGTCGTCCAAACGATTATTCATCCAAATTATGATCAAACGCGAATTGTAAATGATATTGCCATACTGAAGTTGGACTCGCCAGTGCCATTTAGCAGCAGCGTGCGTCCAGTTTGTTTGCCCAATGCCAATCACAACTTCGATAGGAAAGATGTGAGTATGAAAATATGAAAATTAACTTAAGAATAACATAGAAATATACAAAAATGCTGTAAATTCGTGTTTCCCACAGGCCATTGTTGCCGGTTGGGGTTTGGTCAAGGAGGGTGGCGTCACCTCGAATTATCTGCAAGAGGCCATTGTACCCATTATCACCAACAGCGAGTGTCGTACGACGCGTTACAAAAACAAAATTACCGATGTCATGCTCTGCGCTGGCCTTGTAAAGACTGGCGGCAAGGATGCCTGTCAGGGTGACAGTGGCGGCCCGTTGATTGTCAATGAAGGCAGATACAAGTTGGCGGGTGAGTTTTATTGAATTATATAACATTTTATGTTATATTCGTACAAATTAATGTAATTCCCTCTCCTCCAGGTGTGGTGTCCTTTGGGTATGGTTGCGCACAGGTAAATGCGCCAGGCGTATATACGCGCGTTAGTAAATTTATTGATTGGATTAAAATGAATACACTTGACGGTTGCTATTGTAGTAGTTGAATAATTGGGGCAGAAGAACATATTCAATCGATCATATAGTATTTCACAGAAAAATATAATTTATTCAGAAAACCTGGTTGTTAATTATTTGCTTACGGATTGCATAGACCTTGAAGAGATTAAGAAGAATATTATGAAGGCGACTAAAGATTTTCTGAAAAAAAAATTTTTTTGGCCACTGTCAAACTGAGCAGGACCAATCACCAATCTCAGAGATCAGAAAAATTTTTCGTGCTTTGCCAATAATGTTAACCAGACTCACTTCAGAATTCAAAGACTTTACTCCGGACTTACCAAATTTATCTGTCTGTTGACTTTACTTACTTTACTGGCGTAGACACTGCTTCCGCGATTTTAGCCGATTTAACAACATTGCGCCATTTGTTCTTCTTTTTACTGTTTGGCGCTAACTGGAAATACCAAGTAAAGCCAGGTTCTTTTCTACCTGGTCTTTCCAACGTTCCTGGTTAGACCCATACTAGCGTATGGAGTACTTGTGAGATGGGTGACAATATATAAAAAGTGCCGCGTTAAATGTTTGGAATAGGTAAAACTTATTATAGTAGGCGCGATGAGGACTATACTCGATTCCACCTGTCAGCAGGGAAAATTGGGCGTAAGGTGGGCCCATCGTAAGCAGTCAAGATATGCATATTTATACTGATGGGTCTAACGGCGAAGCGCTATTCAGTGACCACACAATAACCTAGGTAACTTCAAACTGCCAGATGGGCAATCGCTTTAACAGGAAGATCTATCAGGTTTCTGGTTTACAGTCACAGGTTAAAACATGTAATCCGGTGATTATCTGAGTGTAGTGGGAAAACTTAGTGATTCTCATTTTGGTCCCACGTTCAACGATGTAGATTACAATAAAAAGCCGCATCAGCTGGCTCGCACTTGGAGCAATGTTATCTCCATCATTGCATCAAACTTTTCAACTGCTGGCTAAAGTAGTGGATTGTGGAAGAATAATTAATTAATGTCCCACAATACTTCCACCGTAACTGTTACTAACTTTAAGCAATCGAGAACATAGATGGGTCATCTGCCCCTGAGATATCTTATTCACATAATAAATAAAGTGGATACGAGGCTCAGTGCAACGTATCCAGAGAAGATGACGAAACCCTGGAGCATTACCCTTAGAAGTGTCCGGCCTTCGGCCGACTGAAACGTCAGATCATTCACGGTGTTCCCAGATCCAACAATACAAAGGTGGGTACAAATGCTTGGAGGAAATTTTAATAAGTTTAGGAAATCCGAAGCATTCGCAGAAGCATAGTTCGGTTAAGGGCGGTTGTTTGTAGGCAACCTCACTTTCCAACAAAAAAAAACAAGCTTACTTCATATATTAAAAGGACACCGTTTGGATTTTGGAATTACCGAATGGAATAAGTTGACCCAAAATAGACCGATAAAAAACAAGGCTCCAGAGAAAAAAATATTTCTTCGGTGAAGTAAATGATTTTTTGATCAGGGAAATCGGTTCTATTTCTATTTTGGGCAGGGTGAAATCTCTAAGAGACGCCAAAAATGTAGAGTTCCGATGCTATTTATTAAAATGTTCTAACAAACTCTTAAATCTTGACCAATTTTATAGGAGAAAACCCAAGAAGGTTTTCTCAGAATTACAGCATAACTTTCCACTTCACCGATTTTCATCTTCATTACTGGCGTAGACACCGCTTACACGATTTTTGCCTCTTATCCTCTTCAAAAGAATTACATCGCCCTCCCAGGATTTTGGCAGAAAGTTGAAACCCTATACGAGTAGAAGATCAGCATCTGGTTCTAGAGACTTGAAAGAGAACCGCGTGACATGCCAACCTGCCAGACAGAATTCTTCAGTATGATCCTCAACACATTTAAGCCGGCACGGAGAGGTTTCAGCTTTGACGCGATCTCAGGATGGGAACAATACTCATTATTTCGCCAGACGAGCGAAACATTGCCAAAACTGGACCGGAAGAAGTATCTCTGAAACATAACTTGGGTTTCGGTAGAGTAATACTTGATAATATGACCAGCTCAACTGCCAGTACCTAACAGCTGTTACAGGAGCTACAGAAGTTATGAGGAGGCGAAGAGGTTTATCAAAATGATATCACTCCCACTGCCACACTAGCTGAGTGCTTCACACTGCGTGATTATATTTCTGACATCAAATAAAAGCTCCTCATTAAAATCCAAAGTTCGTTCCGAGGTGGCTTAGAATTAACTTGGGTCACTCCACTTGTTGTGAAGTCACCAAGACTAATTATAGAAGGAACTCGGTCTAAATTCGCTGCAGCGGTTAATAATCGGTATTTTAATTGAACATTACTATATGAGCTTGAGACTCTTGTCAATAGATGGCGCAAGAATTATTGATATAACAGTAAAAGCTTTTTTATTTGGATAGCTTTCCTGTGAGACAAAAGCTTGAGTGAGCGATCAATGAATATTCATTAGTAGGTCCATGTAGAGCAATGTAATCGGAGCATCAATGGATCTCCAAATCGCAGTCACTTCTATCTAACCTAGCTAACTGAAGGGCAGCTAAGACAGCATTCTTTGTATACTGTTTGTTATGGTACATATCTCAAATGAACTGGAGATATTTTAGTAGAGCATCCTTAAACGAAATTGGGTCCCTGGCAATAAGCCTTTGGGTTTCACACTTTCTGTAGCTTACACATAACTACTTCAATACTCTACAGCTGCTCAGTGTCTAAACCGGGCAAGCCAGTCATATGGAAACTACGATCACCTTTTCTGCTATAACATTGTTATCTTAAACTGCCTGATTCACCATCTAAGCTCAATCAAAAAAAAACTTTTGCTACTTTTATCGATATTTACTTCAAAATCACAATTTCAGCTAAGCTTCAAACGACCAAATCCTGCGGGATTAAGCTAAAATTAGAATCCATAATATTTATTCTTAACCGAATTTCCTTCACGTTGTCCAACAGGCATGTTCTTCGGGAGATAGAGGCAAAGTGTAATTTCATATGGGTATTTTTATTGCATTTTTCTTTCGATTATATTGCCGAAGTTGTTGCCCGTCAGCCATTCCCAAGGGCACTTACACTTCATTTTAATTTCTATTTTGTTTAAAAGTTCATTGTTTTTGTTTTTGGTTTTCACTTGAAAACTTAAATCTATGCTGTCTACGCGTACATCATCTGAAAATGAACGACAGCGCATTTAAGCCATTGAGCGGCTGGAATGAATTATTTATGTTTCGCTGTGATATTTTCTCTTGCTGGCAGACAAAGGTTAGGCAGACGTTCAAAAGTCATTTTGATTGTTCAACACTAGCATGTTTTTTTTTGTGTTTTCTTTAATGACAATAAGATTAAACTACGCAATAGGCAACAACAATAATAGTAAGACTGCAAGGGCCACTTTATGGCTTCTTAAGCGCTCGCAGTCAAAGTTAAACGCGATATCTTCATAGTAAGATTTATGAGCCCGTAATGCGGTAAAAATAGGACCAAGCGCAGATTAGTCGCTGAAGAGTGCGATGCAAAAGGGAGAGCATGAATGATGTATTGACTGTCTTGCCAGGCCGCGCATGCGCGTTCGATCACCGACTGATCTGAGACAGCGGTCTATCTCCGCTGTTTTCTGCACGTCCCTATAGACGATGATTTTTACCAGCGAATTAATTTAAATTCCAACGCATGATTACGCCCTCTTAAAGTGAATTTACGAGCGCAGTGACTTTGAAGCGCATGTGAGCGCGAAGAGAGTGTGCGTGCCAAAGAGCGCCGTGAGGTGCGTACAAAATTTATGTACAAACAAGACTCAAGTCAAAAGCTATGCACGTCGGGCGGTCAAATGGCAAAATAGCAAAATAGCGAGGACGAAATCGAAAAGAAAAAAGATTCTGTTGTAGAATTTATTTCATCTTAATTCAATTTAACAACTTAAACAACCATAAAGTGTTCACATTGTAAATCATGCGCCATGCAAAAACAACAACAGCCAACTTAACTGACTATCGGCGTATGCGATCGACGGACCAACAACAACAACAAGAAGAGCTTGAAGAGTGACCGACACAATATTAAATGTTATGAATGATGCAACGTTGATGAAGTGACGAGTCGAGGCGATATTGGCGGTGGCGGTGGTGAAGGTGGAAGTTCGTTTGGCAAGTCAGTCAATATATATGCAGGTACATATATATTTATATAAGAGTTATCTCTCTTCTTCTTCCCTACTACACTCTGCAATTGTATGCAGATTGTTGTCGCTGCGCAAGAAGTCACCGCGTGGTTTGTTTATTACGAAAGCGCCGCGCATGCGCATGCGCATAACTAATCGCCAAATGTTGCTGTGACCGTGTCTTTTTGCCATTTCAGCTCTCTATATGACTAGCTGAGTTGGACATGCGGCTTTTGATGTGCTAATAAATATTTGTGTCAGTTGAGTTGTTTAAAGTAGAGCAGCACAAAATACAAATATTCTAAATTCCACTCTTCCAAGCACAGTGCACCAGTTGCAGAGTGAAGGCGTTGCCACCATTTATATTTGACTTGCTGTTGGCGCAGACCACAATTTAGTCATCTAGTGAAAGCATTATTTCTTAAACAAAAATGTGATACTGAAGCAATGTAAATAAATACTTCGAAAGGATACAGTTTACTTTTAACTGCTTGTTGTTGCTCTAATATCAGCAATATTGCTGGTGAGCAGTAGCTATGGCAATCTCATCAATTGAGGCCAACTTTGTGTGTATGTTTGGTATAGATATTTAAATATCTGTTGGCTTTCAGAGATGGCTTTGCAGTCATATATACATAAAATATTGTATGACAGGAGAATGACGCTTTAGAATATAAAAAGGTATATTCTATTTTTGTTCTATTGACTGTTTTGCAAAGTTTCATTCGTGTGAAAAGTTATTTAAATTTAAAAATGTTTGAAATTTCTGAAAAAAAATGCTTTAAGATACTTTTCTACTATAAAAATTACACGGGTTTGGTTGGAAAGCTTCAATGCGCTTTGTAGCCAGCAACCTTGTTTGCTTCGGT